AAATAATGCCTTACAAACTACTTTTTCTTGGGTTTATAGTTTACACAATAAGGAAATAAAATATATAAATGTTATATTTGCTTCAATTAAATAACCCAAATTTATTCCAGAATTAAAAAAACAAAAATTTATTAAGACAAGAACAATGAATTAAACCGACACTGAGTTATTAAATAAACAATGCTATACTCGTTGATCGCTGGATGCCCTAAACTATAAAACTTTAGCCAGATTATGCTAAGCGGAGTAAATCCTTCTAATCATAAAAGTATTATTGACATTTTAAAATTTTACATTGACCCCCACTCTCACTTTTTTCTTCAACTTTTAATCATTAATTTTTTAAAAAATTGGTTAGGTTTGTAAATTTAACTACGTATTTAACTTGAGTTATTTAGGGTCGAATATCCAGTCTTATAGGGTAACAATCACACTGACTCACATTGTAAAAAAATATCAACACTACAAAGGCAGGATTTACATCAAAGTCTGCAGGTATCTACTGGGAAGAAGGTCTTCTAGATGAAAGACATAATGTCCTGCAGGAGATGCAGTCCCATCGACAAAGCATCAACATTTATATCGAAGAGAACGTTTTAACTCCTTTCCAATGAAAGCTTCTTTATATGGTTTCTTCAGGTTATTCGCTCGTCTCTCCTCTCCTTCCTCCTTTTATTTCAGTCTTACCCTTTCCTCCATCCTCTGTTCTTTTTCTCTCCTCTCCCTCCCTCTGTTCTTTTTCTCTCCTCTCCCTCCCTCTGTTCTTTTTCTCCTCTCCTCCACTTTCTCTCTCTCCCCTACTTTTCTCTCTCTCTCCCTCCCTTGTTATTTACTTTCCTCTCTCTCCTCCCTCTCTCCTTTTCTTTCCTTTCTCTCCCTCCTCTCTGTTCTTTTTTTCTCTCCTCCCTCTCTTTTTTTCTCTCTCCTCCCCTCTCTAATTTTTTTCTTTCCTCTCTCTCTCTCTCTACTTTTCTTTTTTCTCTCTCTCTCTCCCTCTCTTTCCTTTCTCCTCTCTCTCCTCTTTTTTTTCTTTTCTCTCTCTCCCTTTCTTTACTCCTTCTCTTTCTCTCTCTCTCTCTTCTCTCCTCTCTTTTTTCTCTTTTTTCTCTCTCTTTTTCTCTTTCCTCTCTTTTCTCTCAGTCTTCTCTTTCTCTCTCTCTCTCCTCTTTCTCTTTTCTCTTTCTCTCTCTCTCTCTCTCCTCTCTATTTTCTTCTCTTTCTCTCTCTCTCCTTTTTCTCCTCTTTTTCTTTCCTCTCTCTCTCTCCCTCTCTCTCTCTTTCTCTCTCTCTCTCTCTCTCCTCTTTCTCTTTTTCTCTCTCTCTCTCTCTCCCTCTCTCTCTTTTTTCTCTCTCTCTCTCCCTCTCTCTCTTTCTTTCCCTCTCTTTCTTTCTCTCTCTCTTTTCTTTCTCTCTCTCTCTCTCTCCCTCTCTTTCTTTTTTCTTTCTCTCTCTCTCTCCCTTTCTCTTCTTTTTTTTCTCTCTCTCTTTCTCTCTCTCTCTCTCTCTCTCTCTTTCTCTTTCCTCTCTCTCTCTCCCTCCCTCTTTCCTTTTTCTTTCTCTCCTTTTTCTCCCTCTCTCTTTTCTTTCTCTCTCTCTCTTTCTCCCTCTCTACTTTTCCTTTCCTTTCCTCTTCCTCACACCTTCTTTTTCTCCGTTTTCTCTCCTCTCCCCACCTCTTTTTTCTCCGTTTTCTCTCCTCTCCCCCTAGCTTTTTTTCCTTTTTTTTCTCTTGTAATGTCTCTTTTTCGTCTTCCTTCCACGTCACAAGATTAAGTAGAACTGGCGATTTATCTAAAAAGATAAGTCGACATTTTATCTTTTTATTTTAAAGTGAATTCTTTTCGAAAATACCAGATACAATTCCCAAGAACGAAACCAAAATTCGTTAAATCTTTGAAGCCACTTTTTTTCTTTTTCATTTCGCAAGGTTATGACGTGTATTCCCGTAGCCATTTTAACCCATTAAGGCCCATCGTTTTTTCAGTATTAATCATAAAATCCAATATAAAAATCCTGTTATAGCTTTTTAAAAATCTGGTATTAATTAAAAAAAAAATACAGTATTATTTAAAGATATCTAAAATAAAATGTTTAAAAATTAGTTGTTAATAATTGATTTTTACGAAAAGAATTCAATATTAATTTTGCGTTCATAAAAAAAAACACTTAGGGTATTAACTAGATTTCTAAAAAAAAAAAAAAAAATCGAGTATATATTACCTGTTAGTGGATTGATTGTGATAATAATGATTTCGTGATACAAGTCTTACTAATAAACCTATAGCTGTGGGTAGAAGAGTCGGATTCATGCCTTTCCAAAGAGTATTTGCGCTCAAATGAATATAATGAACCCAACTGAAATTGGAACTTGGTTCTCCTCTAACAATTTATCTATTACACCAACCACACATAAAGCTTACAGCACCTGATATTCTCAAGTGGTCACCCATCTACTGACGATGCACAACGTTGCTTAACTTCGATGATCGTACGGGAACTG